AAATTTAGACACAATTCTTAAATAGAAACGAGGACAAATATAAATTTCGGCCCATTTAACAGAAGAAAGCTTGTTATAAATTTTGAAACCAGTTCAAAGATTGGCGGAAAGAAATTAGCTCCATCAAATGTCCACGTTTTAAAAAAGAAAGGAGCGAATTTACGGGCGCGAGTCTCTTCTCGACAGAGTAGAAAACAAATAAATTGATTTTTATCGCCTGGCCTAAAATTCCATTAAATATTAAAATCAATTTAAGTAAATTAAGATTGTCTTCCAAGGAAATAAAACTAGTTGAATTAGTCGAAATAATTACCGACGCAATAACGATATAAATAAAACGACACGTTTAATGAAAATTAATATAAAACTCGGTAATAAATTTCACGATTAAACCGGGTTTAAAATAAGATTTAATTGAATATGGGAGCGCAACGCGCGGCCATCTAACCAGGGAAGGGAAAACTGGCTCCTATTTAGGTGTAGAAAAGCCGAAAATTCAGCCCGTCGGTGAGGCTCGGCCACTCGTGGATAATTAAATTCCAAGCGCGTGCCGTCGTATACGCGTCTCCTCAGACGGGACGTATTTGGTGGGGCCGAGATACGAACCCGCGACTTTCGCAAAAGCCAGTAAATGAGGCAATAATTCGCCGTTACGGACAAGACGGTACCGCTCTAAAGTAACGCCGCCTTTGCGCGTTTCGCCGGATGACGTCGTCGGGAGTAGTGCGGACGTCATACGTCTTTTACGACGTAGGCAACGCGTAATTAACGTTTGTACGACATTCTTCGGTACGCTACTCGCGCTTCTTACCGTAGATCGTGGGTACGCACGCGCCCAATTTCGATAAAAATGTTTTTATGTTAATTGCCTCATTTAAATTCACTCTTTTAAATACTTTAACATAGTTTCGTATTGTTGGAATTGAACACAAAAATTCGCTTAACGCGCGCACGACTACGTTTTATACAACGCTGCAGCCCGTTTAGAAACAATTGAACCCGATGCGGCCTTAGGCGACACTTAATTCGTGCAACCCCGCTCTAGACATTTAGGTAAGCAGTTTATTCTACAAACAATTTCCTCCTATTATTTCCATCGGATCCTATAATATTTTAAAACTCTTGAAAGACCCTGGACGTGCCGTAACCCTAGAAAATAGCAAAAGTATAACGGCGCAGCATTTACTTGGGAAAATTATTTGACAGACGTTACTATACTTGGGTACAAACAGGTTTTTTTTCGAAATCGGGAAGCAAAACTAATAACAAATTGGCTAAATTTCAAAAGATATTTTATTTTTTATTACCAAATTTAAACGGCATATCGTAATTCGATGCATAAAACCATATTGACATAGATTCGGGGTAATTATTTATTTAAATTACAGCGGAATTATTCGGTATTTGGCGCGTGTACTGCGTACAAATACAAATAGGGACATTATAGACTACGGGATTTTGAGGGATTCGATGGCGTAGAGTGAGTGTCAGCCGCCCGGGGCGGAGGAAAATTTCGCCCCCTTATTTAGGTATCTCGATTTAAAAGACTAAAATTCAGTTTCGTCACAGAATAAGTAATGAAAAATTCCGCGCTAGTGTCGCCATCTTATTAAAATCGCCGACCCGGACGGCGGGTGAGGTTTGTTCGAATAGAAGTTCCTGACGCACGCGTATGTCATTTTGCGACGCGAAGAATAATGTGCGGCGCATGCCGGTTCTAAATCAGTTACAGTTAGCGACTAGAGAGACTCGAATAGGAGTAACGCGAGTGACCTAGCTGTATTGGATATTGTATTGGTGTGTGTGTGTGTGTATATATATACGAATAACTCGTACAAGTAGAAAAAAAAAGTCAACAGGTTGCGCACGATATCCCCGGACGGCGAGACGATTCCCGGACTATTCCGTGCTCATTTCAATCGGTCCGAGTCGTGGGTGGACGAAAATATGAAATAAAATGGTTCAAATTCTTACAGCATATTATTATTATTTATTGTGAAATTTTGCCGCCCCCACTACGCTACTGGAGGGATTTCGTAGGGAAGAGTATCGATAAAATAATTGCATTAAAATAATTGGAACACGAAGTAACCTTAACTAACCTAACTCGGTGTAGCGTCGTGCGCCGGTTCGTTGACCCGTACGGGACCGGATAAAGAAAGATAGCCCACTTCCGCTAACTGGTTCCATTTCCATATAAAATAATGCGCGAAACCTTTTTTAAGTCGCCATTTTCCTAAATAAAGGCCGCGTGGCCGCCTGTATTGTTTTTAAGGTCACCAAACTACCTCCTCTTCCTACGAATTTTCTTCTTTAAGTGACGAACGAGGCGCGCGCCGAACGTCGATTTCCGTACAAAATTACCGATTATCTTTTAAATTAAATGGGAAAAAATGTACCGTAACCGTTACTTTTTAGCGTATATCGACGACAAATTAATTCGATACCCGATACTTTAAACCGCACACCCCGGAGTTACGTCGTCGTACGGTGGCGACGACGGCTTTATATCTAAGGTCGAAATAAGGGGCGCATTAAGAGACGAGAGAGATGCGGTAAGAAACTTTTTCCACTTTGACTACGCAACAAAGGTTGTCGGAAAATCTGAAGTGGCGTACGAAAGATTTAAGGAGTAGGAAGCTCTCTAACCTATTTACATTGTCTTACTCGATGCATTAAGTAGGCGAGAGACGATTACGGCGATATTTATCGCTCCTTCGTTATTACGAAAGTCTCTCTTTTTCCGCCGTCGTTACTCCACTCAGAAATTTAAGACCGAAGGCGAGATTCCATTATCGCCTCCTTTAAAACCCTAACCGAAAAAGTTTCCCATTCCAAAGAGCGTAATTGCGTTATAACTTTTTTCTGCTTATTTTTAAATCTCCTTACTCGCAAAATTTCTTAACGTTTTTAGTTTCGGTTTCGGAAATAAAACGAAGAGAAATTGGAGTGAATTTGGAGAAATCTCTTCTAAGCGCAATTATTTAAAGATCGGTTTATTTAGAACGTTTTACGCGCACTCCACCAAAATCAAACTGAAATTATTTCAGCTGGGTTTGATAGGATGCGGCATCACGGGCGCGCGCGATCTGCCAAAGAGGGGTATGTGTAGGGAGGATCTTTAATGGAAAACTGCCCCCCCCCTATTTACGCGAAGAAAAACGGAAAAAATCTCCAAGTTGTCGAGGCGCGATCCCGCAACCAACCGCCAGTGTTTAGTGGTTTTTTCCACTCGTTGGCTCGGCTCCAACAATTATGGAAATTTTGTTTCTTAACACAAATTGTTTAATAGCGGATCATTAATATCTATTCTGATTGCGCTTTTCGGGATTCTTCGATAAAATAAAAACGAGGAATTCTTCCTTCCGTAATTTCCCATAAATGTCGAATGTCTAATTTTCTACCTGTTCGTACATAAGGAAACCAACGTTACGTGTTACGAATAAAATTTAACATAAATCGCGTAATATCTTTTCTAAAAATTCCATCAAAATTATGATTGGCCATTTATACTCGTCTGCCACTAAAACTAAATTTTGTCGAGTTTTCGAAACTCCCGGTCTATTGGAAGTTGCCGGATTGCGCCGTATACTCGGTAGCTTGGAATAGTAACGGGCAGGAACCAAATGAGAATATTGTAGAATAATTCTCAATTATCTGTTCGATAGAAAGTTGACAAGTTATTTCTCGCCTGGTTTGGCCCCTACGTTTGCGCGCGCACTCGCCTTTGCCACTCGAATTTCTTTCTTTGTGGAAGGTCAGCGGAATAAAACCCATTTTACCAATTTGTAAATTACTTCATTTATCTTAAAATCGGTGCTCTTAGCCTATTTTTGTTAAAGATAAAACCCATTTTTGTTGTACGAATGCGGAGAGAGAACGCTGTAATTTCTCCCTCGTATTGCAGTTATACAATTAACGAATGGAGTAAATAAAAAAAAATCCTTTAGCAAAAACTCGTTTATTCTTAACAAAACAAAAAGTAAAATTGGAGAAAAGTCTTCTCGAAAATTTATTACGTCGGGTAATTTTCCGATAGATGTTGTTCCGAAGAGGAGACCGTCGCTGGTTACACGGGGGTCGAATTGTCAATTTTGTTAGGGAAAGGCATCGGAAGAAAACTGCAGAAATCCATTATTTCGGTTTGGAAACTCAACTTACGCAATTACTTTTTTCCTTTTAAAGTCTTTACGTCGGAAAGGGGAGGAAATTGCTTTTAAAAACATAATTAGGACATTGGCTTACCGAGTTTCGTACGCGACCGCAGTTAATCGAAGAAAAAAGGAGTTACGCTTAATTCCGCTTTTTCAAAAATATTTTTCCGCTTTGGGAAAATGCCCAAATTCGTATTTGAGCACAAATCGACGAGAGGAACGAACTAACGTCTCCCCTTCGACGGCCTTTTTTTTGCCCAATGTTAAAATTCGAGGCAAAAAATGCTCAATAGTTGCCCAAACCGTTAATTTTTAACATTAAAAATTTCGAAAGAATTTAACGTCTACTCTCCTGCGAATTTTTACTATCGTTTTGCCGTTTTCATCGTAAATTTCCCGCAGATGATGAACTTTTATGTTTTGAACATCTACGTACCATTGGTAATACATTTAATTACAAAAAACTACCTTTTAAATACAGAATTCTTTTATACAGAGCATTAAGAAAAGACAGTCGTTATACCCACGTATCGCTGGCAATTTCAATAAACCCGAATTTCGATCGGCACTCACTCTCGTGTTTCGGGTCCTTTTCTTTGCAAGTTTAAATCCCTGAAAAAATTTTATAAGCGTTATAAAAGTATACATTAAACTCGGCCAAATGTTACGCAAATTCCATCTGTCTCCATTCCGAAACTCCCGAACCTACCTTAAAAAAAGGCTTTTAAAGAACAGACACAAGAAGACGCGAGTTCGAATCTCCGCTCCCCTCGTCGTATCGTAGACGTGGTTGGAAAATAAAGATATGACAAAAACTATGTGTTAAGGAAATAAACAACAGGCAAAAAGTTTTAAACAGATCTATTTTTATAATTCCTGTACAACAAACGATCCACCAATGCAAAGAAAATATTCTACGGACGTAGCTGCCATGGTTACGCATCGCTCGTAAGGGGAATAAAACTAATTTTTTTTAAAAAGTTCATGGAAAATAATCTAAGTCGTTGGAATTTCGGTAAAAATAACGATAAAGATGTATAGAACGAGGCGAATCTAGGAACATCCATCTGTATATTCACGTATACAGCTCTTGTGTGTGTGTGTGTGGGGGGGTTAAATAACCGGTGGAAAAAAAGCACAAAGCAGCAAAATACAGCCCGATTCCTCGAAGAATTTTTTCTTTACACTTTTTATATTTACAGTCGATTATTTTTTGTTGCGTTTTATCACTGGCTCAGGCACACGAGGATTTCGGGGAACCGACCGGGCCGGAAGCTAGTTTGTTTTTTAAAGAATTCTCGACCGTCCACTTGCGGAACGTCCTCCGCTCTTCCTTTCCTTCTGCCGCGGTCGCGCCGACGTTTTCGGACAGAAAAGATGAAAAAATAATTATATATTTTTCAACATTTTTTTAGCGTTTCTTCGGCAAGGTCCTGCGAATTTTCTTCTCTCCGGGCGTTTCGTTGGGCGACGGACGAAGAGCGCGCGGTGCACTCTTCCGCCAAAAACGTCCAATCACAGACGGAGGCGCCGCTCCTTCTATTTGACGTCTTCGGTCTTCCGGTCGTCGGCGTCGTCCCGCCCTCTGTCGCGGAAAAATCCGAAACTGGTGCGGCACTCGCGCACGGTGACGGTGACCAGGTTGGCGGTAACGTCGGTGATGAAAATCTGGTCGACCAAAGAGTTTTGTTTCCGCCAGAAGTCCGGGGGACTGGGAGGATGGCACTTGCCGCCGAGAGCGGGACTGACGGGCAACGCGGCCGACGCGTTGACGTTCTTCGACTGCAGCAGCGTCTTCTGTCCGTCGGCCCGGGGCGCCGCCCGAACCGAAACTTCGTTCTTCTCGGCCGTCTCGTCCACGTTCTCGCGGTCCGAGTTGTCGTCCTTGGCGCCCTCTTCCGGGCCGCCGGTCGGCGCGCTCTTTCTCGAGTCGTCCGCGCCTTTCGGCGCCGATCGCTCGTCGCCCGCTCCTATCTGCGTCGACACAGACTTGTGCTGCGTGGCGGGCGCCGACGACGGCGGAGGCGGCGGCGGCGGTTGCGCCTCCTCTTGCACTCGTCCGCCGGGCGCCGCAGTCTGTTGTTGGCCGCTTTTGGACGCGGTCTTGCCGGCGGCGGCGCGCTTAGCCGCCGCCGCCGGCGTCTCGGGCGACGCGTCGGCGCCGCCGTCGACGGTGGACTCCGGCGCCGATTCGGGCACCGCCTCTTTCGTCACCTTGGCCATCTTGACGGCCGGAACCACCGTCTCCTCCCGTCTTCCGGTCGGCACCACGCCGACCGCCCGCAGCACGGCCGGATCCGAGAGCTGCTCCTTGGCGCAGTCTCCGTTCTTCCTTTTGGTCGCCTCCTTCTTGGCCGTCGCTTCGCACGTTTCGCTTCCATCGACGCTCGACTCGTCGCGGGGCGTGGCGGCGGAGGCGCCCCGCGTCGCGCCCGCCTGTTGAGGTTGCTGCTGATCTTGCGCCGTCTCTAGTTTGGTGGCTTCCGTCGCCGGTCGTCCGTCCGCGGCCTCGCCGCAACTCTGCCCGAGACAAAACAAAGAGAGTTTAGTCGGCGTCGCCGAGCGGCGACGGCGCGGAGCCCGAAATGTCACCCACCTGCGTTCGTTCCTTCTTGGGTTTTGGTCCTTTCTTGGTCGAGTCTCGTTCTTTTTGGCTACAAAAGCAAAATTTCCATTAAGCCTCGTCCCGCCGGCGGCCGGGCGAAGCGACGCTCCGCGCGCGGGACGAGAGAAAGAAAAGCGCCACCGCGCGGCCGCCGCCGATCCGACAGCCGCGCCGGGTCTCGACCGGCCGTCCGGACGACGAGACGGTGCGCCTGCGCGGCGCCATGTTGTTGGCTTACCTCGCTTCGAAGGCTTCCAGCAACCTAACGTCCAAAATGTTCTCTTCCGGTTCCCAAGTGTTGTATCTGAAAGGACACCGGTCTTAATAACTCCGAGGCTTCAAGGGGGCAACGAAACTTTGGATGATGTACTCACTTTGGACTCCAACCTTTCCACTTGACGAGGTACTCCACTCGGCCCTGTAAGAAGGCATCTGGTTAGTCGACATCGTCGCTACGGTGCGCGAGCCATTTCGCGTCCTTTTTTACCTTTCTTATGCGCTTCTTCTGTATACATTCGGCGGCGAACACCCTTTCGCCCACAGAACTGAGTTCCATGTTAGTCGTCGACACAGCTGTATTTTCGGATGACGCCAGAGTGAACCGGTTTGTTTGCTATCTCGCTGGCCAAGACTACGATTCAGCGTTCACGCCGACTCCGTGACGGTGACTGGCCGCTTGACGTCACTTTATCTCCTCCTATGTCCCACAGTTCGCAGCGCGCTTTCCGCGCCTCGCCATTGGTCGGTCGGCCTTGGGTGTTATCGGTGGGTGTCGATGTGTCGGATTTTCCCCCTTTTCTCTAAATATTAAGTCGGAAAATAATACCGCTCCGTTCAATATCATTCCTTTCCTTCTTCCCTCCGTTTATTATGATTCGAATCCTGTATAAAAATCCTTTCTTTAATTAAATATTTTTTCCTTTGGCTAAATTCCCCGTTAATAAAACCGTTTTCCAAATTATCGACTACATTTTTACATGAAAACTATTTATTTAAACAAGCGTTAAAATGGAATTATTTTTATTTTTTTCTCGAAGTTTCCTAAATAAAAGAAATGCAGTATAATATAATAAATATTTTAATACATTTAAATTTATTTAAAAGCTATTTACTCAATTTAAAGTTTGTTATATATTTAAATGTAATGGGATAAACTGGATTATCCGGTATTTCGTTCAAAAAAATATTTCGATTAATTTAAGAATTTAACGATAAAAATCGCTAAGGGCGTAGTTGGAAGGGACTCCAGTGATTAAGTGGGGGAGATATTCGGAGTTCGTTCGCAATGGCAAATGCGTTTTCCGTCCTCAGTAATTTTCCAATTGCGCTCTTTTACTTTTCTTGGTCTAAATTCTATCGATTTTCCTCGGCCATTTTACCACCGAAAACATTCATTAAATAACGGCGCCCGATACGTAAATTCATTCAAAAATACGTAAACGTCACCTCCGACGTCGTAAATATCGACTGCCATTTCTTTTTTTCTTTTGCCAGGAAGTTGTCCTTTCGCTCGTATTTTCGAAAAAAAAAATTATTATTATTTTTGCACAAATTCGTCAAGAACTGTGCAAATTTAATTTGAATTATTCTCTATTGTGATTTTTTTCCTTGGAAAATTTTCCGCCGAATTGAGTCGGGTTTGATGAAATGATGCAACACACGGGCGATGTGCCAAGGGGGTGCCTCTCGGGTGGACTTTGTATAGGAAACTGGACTCTATTTAGGCGTTAGACACGCGAAGAAAACCCGGAAAACTTCACGCGACAGCTCGTTGGTCAGGCGTGAACCCGCGACCACAACTATCTGTTTTATCTAACTCGGCCAGTAGAGTAAGGTAATTTCCCTCTGCCGTTAACTAAAAATTAAAAACAAAATTATAAAACGGAAAAGAGTGACGAGCCGAAAATACGATTGGCTTTTAAATGCGATATTAAATACGAGACGGCGGTCGGCCGCTATTAAAAGAAATAATGGATCGAAGAACGTCGTCGCATCCGTACGCGCTTCTCTAATCAAATCTGCGTAACTAAAAACAAACAAAATTCGTATTTACTTTTCATTTTGTAGGGTATAAAATACTGTTTCAATGAATATTTTACACGGAAGCGTGTCGCGTTATTATTTTTGGCTACGTCATTACCGCCGTGGTGATCCGAAGGTCCGGAGAATCGTGCCAAATTTCCACGCCTTAAAAAATTGGTGGAAATGTCAATTGTAAATAAATAAAACTTGCAAATGTCAAATTATCACCGACGGCTACCTCTAAACAGTGGCCATTTGCTCAAGTTTTTCTTTAGGAAAATTGCGCAAAAGATAAACTCCCACGAAGGGCCGCTTTCGAATTTTAACAGCCGTTTTTAACGTTCCCGTCAGCGCTTGTTATTCGGAGGTTTCGCCGTATTTCGGGTCGCGCGTACGAAATTATTGCGATTCTCGTAGTTAGGAAAGTATAGAAAATGACGGAGAACGTTATCTAAAAATCCGTAATAAATATAATTTTCTACGATTTTTATCTCCTCCGTCGTTAATCACGATTTATAACCTTAGGAGCCAAGAAGTAACGGGAGAAGATACCGGTTAATTATTTTTTCAGATATCTTCCGATTCCGGCATTAATATAAGTTTCGGACGAAGCAAAAACGGCCGCGCGGAGGGGCCTAATTAGTAAATTCGGGACTATAATAATAATAATAATAATCGGGGGCGCGTGGAAGTATCGAATGCGTTCCGAGTGTCGACTATCGATCGAGGACGGTCCCGGTGCTGATTCATAATAACGTATCGACGCGATCGAACCCCACGTTTCTTCTAATAAATTGCTAAACAAATATCTCTATTAATTTGTCTTTGTATATTTAGTTCTCCCGTCTTCTGTACGCCTATCGCTAGTCGTCTGTATGTCCGCATTCTAATATCCCCGCGCTTAATTTTATTTATCCTGGCCACAAACGTAATTTTATTTCGTTACGTACGTGTACGCAACTTATTGCCTACACCTACATAAACAAATAAGATTACGTTTACCGCCAGGATAAATAAATATATACGGCTCGCAACTTACTGCCGGCCGTATATATTTAGCCCATACATTGTATCTCGATGGAACCAGTCACCGTTTGATCGCTCGTTAGCATCGCTTAAAATCTGCGAGCGCCGGAAGAAAAATGGCGTAACTCGCGACGGAATTAAATTTAAGAATTATTTTTTAAAAAAAAAAGTTTTGTTTAGAATACCGAAAAGCCATAAGCCATGGTAATGGGCACGCGTTTGAAGTTAGACTCGGCAGGAGAATATAAAACGGGTCTTAGCATTGTTTGTCGCGGGGACTGTCCACCTGACGTATGGCACGGACAACGCCCTGTATTTCCGGATTCGACAATGGATCGCCGTGAGGCCCCGATGGGGTTTACGATCGTTCGAAATTACGCCGCAACTGCGCGTATTATCCGGACGGTATTATTTATGACGTCACGACTGGGGTAATACGTACGTCGACGCTTTTACACCAGTTACTAACTTCGAAAATACTTCTCCGAGGTTAGGGAGTAGAGACTGAAATAATCTTCGCCCATTTAAAAAAAAAAAAATGCTTCTCGACTCACCCAATCGGATTTTTTCTGGAAAGTGCGGTATTTTAAGCGTTGAAAGTGTAGAAAATGAAAATTAAGCGCTAATTAGGGAGGTAACTAATTCGAAGACAGTCGGCTGGAAATTATTGAAAAAATACCTAATAAATGGGCACGATAGTTTTTCTAAGATGTCGAATGGCAAAAACGTGCAATTTCATTCGAATAAATATATCGAACATCGTGAATTGCCTTTGCATTTACACATCTGGTAGGTCTTTCTTCATTATATTAGAAGCACCTGCTCGATAACACGAACCTCGTAAACATTTTGCCTTAATGGCGGTTCGGATTCTTACCGACGCGTCATAAAAAACACTAGAAAAAACTTCACACTGATTATTTAAAAAAAAAAAGAAAATAGTCACTCGGTTTACGAGGAGGATTTTTAATCCAGCCGCAACAAAATGAAAGAAAAATGTTATTAAATATTTATACAATAAACATTTAAAATTCGACTAAAGTATTTGAAGTATTTGAATATAATCGTTTAGAGTTAAATGAAAATGATGAGAATTAGCTAAATTGTTTGATGGGACACGGCAACGCAACACGTGGGCGATCCATCGAGGGAGCTGCCTCCCGGGAGGACTTTCTGTAGGAAACTGGCCCCCTATTTAGGCGTTTATAGGAAACTGGACCCCGTTTAGGTGTTGGACGTGTATAAAAAAACGGAAAATCCACGCGAACCCGCGACTATCTATTAGTGTTCGGTGGTTTTATTCACTCGGTAAGTGGAATTAGCCAGTGTAATTCTTATCCGTTTGTTACTTATTAATGAAAAATTAAATACTCGAATTGTCCAGTTTCTTCTTCGGTAGTAGAATATACTAAAATTATCCGTTGTCTAGATTTGTTGGTTTATTAATTTTATTAAGAAGCGATTCGCGCGAATTTTCCGAAGGTATTTATTATTTTCACTAAAATCGATTGGAAAAAATATATTATTTTTTCGTTTTTTTAATTTTTGCGGCTTACCCGAACATTAAGCCGTAAATAATAAAGTCCTATACTAGTACGGATTTGTACTTAAGCTAAACCAGCCGAAGTTTAGGGCCTGGCAGTTTTGCACGTGTCATTCGTTATTGGGTGGAGGGGAGAGTCTAAGTCCGGCACTGGTTCTGTCTGTTAATATATTTCGTTTTTTAAGCCTCGATAGCCTGATATTATTATTATATCCCCTAGCTATTTATTATATTTTATATTGGCTAGTGTATAACACTATTTATTTTAAAAACGGATATAATTCTAAAAATAAATAAATTCTGTAGTTTTTAAGAGTGACGCTTAACTTTTGAGCGTAACCGAACCCACGCCTCAACCGTTGGAACTCTAAATTAAAGCGGATACATCGAATCGACATTTTAAACCGATCTCGGAACGAAAAAATAATTTTAGTTTATTAAAAATGTATTTCGTAGAAACGAAAAAATAATAATAAAGAGAGAGCGCATTTTAGACTAGAAAAAAAGGTAAATGATCGATAAACGTTATAAGCAGTTTTTGTGAAGGGTATGGCGATCAAAATGGAAATATTCGACGATTGTAAAACGAGAGGAAGCCATTACGTTCCGAGAACGATTTAATTGTGTTTAATTAAATGTCTTGGTTCCCCGAAAATGAACTCACCACTGGCAGTCTCTCGTCCTTCTCCGTAAACAGTTTTGACTAAAATATCACAGGGTCGAATATGTTAATATACACCAAATTAAGAATGACGTGGCTTACCAACTCGTTTTCCAAAATAATAGACCATCTTTTCTCCCAATATTTCGTAATTAACACTCTATAATGTTTCGAAAAAACTTATTTTTATCTGACGTAAACAACCCGGGAAAAAGAACAATTTATTAAGATTAAGATTTTGCATTATTTATATAATAATTAATCTGAAATTTTTAATTATTAACAAAAATTTGAAAGCATTTCCTTTACTTCATTAGTCATTATGTTCAATTTGTAACTCTTCTATTAGAAAATTCGTAGAAAAAATCTAAACCA